ACAGCGGACACTAATGTTTTTGTCACTTTTTATGGAATAAAACTCAAAGTAATGTCAGTACATCCACGCTCTAAACGCTGCATGGTCGTACTCTCTCTCCCACACTCCATATTATCCTTGTTGATCTGCACACATCTGTTGCTGCCACGGGTGTCGCACGCTCTGACATCATTGTCATGAGACACTCTCACAAACAAAATCACGGTTTAGTAACGCAGTTACGCAGCATGCTTATGGGAAAGTAACAGTAATCTAATTACTTTTTCGCAATATTAATCCCTTACTTTACTCGTTCCTTGAAAAAGTAATCTGATTACAGTAACACATTACTGCCCATCTGTTCATTACACACGGTCGCAATAGTCTCGGCAGTGATTTCCCTTTGTGGGATTAAGGTGAAGTGGAAATGGAAAACATTTTCTGAGCTTTTTAGTAGTTTTAGATGTTTTAAAAAAAACATTTTTTCATGATGAATATTTCAGATTAAACTCAAGGGTAAATCACTTTATAGATTCACATCTTTTTGCAGCATTGATGTATTAACCTCGACAGCACACAGCTAAAATGCAAAGTAGAGGTCAATGATAAGGATTCTCCAAACCGATTTTCCATTTTTCTCGCGTCCGTCACCGCCTGAAAGCATTTACAATAGAAATTCTAAGTAGACCAGATAAACCTATTAAGAAAGCCTAAAGGAGAGGACAAAAACAATTTAACGCATTCTGTCAAATGCTCAGTCCCTGTGGCCATTCACTTCTCAGTTAAGTGCAAAGTCAGACGGACACATTCAGGGGACATTTTTGTCAATTCGGACAGCCTAGGATTTAAAAGCAGTCAGTGGTTACTTATATATGAATACGGACCTCCTGTGCCACTTCAGGGGTTAGAACATCAATGCAGTCATCCATTAGTACAGATGTCATAACATTATCATGCCCCGCAGGTTTGTTACTGTCAACTGAGGCACTGATGTATTAAAAAGATTGGAGGATAAAAGTACCATTTATGCTTTAGCAAATGCTAAAATACCTGCTTGCTGACTGACTGCATTGGAAGCTTAATATTAACAGAACAATTAGAAGATGAATCAAGTTGTCTTTTATTCCACCAATTTCAAAAGGAGGCAAGTAGAAAAAAATAAGTGCTTTGTATATAATCTGCTCATTTTCAAAACAAACCGCAGGCATAATGAATCATTTCTGAAACGGCACTTAGCCGAGAAACTGCCAGAAAAGCTCCACAAGCTCAACAGCAGAATCCCGTTTTCATTCATAAACACTCTCTCATGACAAAACAAACACAACTGAGACAGTGACAGTAAATCTTTAAGCCTTCAGAGCGTCAAAGCGAAATCACACAAACTCATAACACCGGTATTTTCCCTTCAAGACAGACTGTAAGTTTCCCCATTAATCTAAAATCATTAAAACCTGAGTTGAGTCACTTGAAAATAATTCAACATTTTGGGCGTTTGTAGCTTACTGCAGCAGTCCAACCTTTTTTGCGCCACGGACCGGTTTATGCCCGACAATATTTTCACGGACCGGCCTTTAAGGTGTCGCGGATAAATACAACAAAATAAAACTAGTACTGGTACCGAAAAAAAGAAGATTTATTCATAACACACATGAAAAGACCCAGGAAAACCGAGTTAACCATAAAAACGATAACAAAATGACGCTGAAAACAGATAAAAACCCTGAAAACCTTACATTTCACACCTGAGCCTCTACTCTCGCAGCCCGGTACCAAACGACTCACGGACCGGTACCGGTCTGAGGCCCGGGGGTTGGGGACCGCTGGCTTACTGCACTAAGTCCAGTTCAAGCGTCCATGCCTGAGCAGGAGTGTAAGGCAGCTCTGGCAAAAGGACAACAAGGCCACCACCAGGGTTGACTGGGGCCCAAGATAAAGGTGTGGGATTCCCCACCAAGAACACCTGGGCAAGAGATAAAAGCAGATCAATAAAAATTTGTTCATGTTTTTCAACTCTGAGTACAAACATGGACAGCATTGTTTCTTTACCTGTGTGATGGCTGAAGCTTTGGGTGCCAGCAGTTTCACTGTGCTCATCGGGGGTTTGGCTGTTAGGATGGCATAGACTGTCAACCCCTTAGATGTATACCTAGAACAGTGAAGAGCATTACAGTTTTTTTTCCTGCATACAAAAATACCAGCACCAAACAAAGGAAAAATCACCAGGACCAAGCAAGGTAACACAGACTCATTGCCTAACTAGATCAATACAGGCGATCATAGCAAGCTTTATTATGCACTTTACTCTGAAAATTCTCAGCTTCCCCACATCGAAACAAACACCATGCTATTTAACATACGTGTTGCCAAGTACAACAGTACACATCCTGTCTGCATCTCCCCGTAACCTGCATTAATCCTCAGAGACGATTAGCTCTCCCACTGCACTAAAACTTTCATACAGTTGACAGATTGTCGATAGACTCATCTTGAGAGTCAAGAAAATACAGTGAAAGTGAAGTGATCTGAGTCACATCTCCCTTTTTTCTTACCAAACTGGTACAGTGGTGTTTTCTGACTGCACCCTCCAGGGTTTGGAAGAGTAAATGGCCTGCCCGTTGACCTCCAGCCAGTCTCCAAGACCTCTTAGCCTCTCCTCAAACAAAGGGGGGATCATCCCGTCAGGTGTGGGACCCACATTCAGAAGGTAGTTACCCCCAAAAGCCACAGTGCGGACCAGATCCTGCAACAAAGCAACAGCAGACACAAGAGGAAGCAGGCAATAAAACAGTGTTACATTCCAGATGAGCAAAAGATTACCATTATGGCCTAACCATCAGAAATAAACAGAACAAAAGGACAACACACTTGGCTTGGATTAATTGATTAAATACAGTCATTATGATTACAAAAGTATTTCCTGAAGGCTGCATGCACAAGCAAAGATTAAAGGTATTCTATAATAGCCATATACAAATAAAAACTACCTTAACTTTAAATGTAGAAGCTAATATCTGTGCTACCATCACCTCGATAATCGCAGCCAATGGCAAAAGTTCGTTCATCTTCATGTTTCGACGGTAACCCCAGGAAAGAGTATCCACAGATGTGCATTTCTCCCACTTGTGTGTGGGCAGCTGGCCCGGCGTGTACTTGTCCTCGCAGTTGTAGTAGCCGCCATGTTTACAGGCACAGCCAGCTCCCCATCGGTCATTAGTCACAACGGTATCCTAAGAAAAGGAAAGACAGGCAATCATGAGGACTACTTTTGCTACCTGCAGTTCAATACACCACAGCTAAAATCCAGGAAGCACAGGGGATGTCTGGTTTGCAGCATCTGAACTTTCAAAATAAAAGCAAGTGCACCATCTATGACTACCTTGTCATAAAGACACTCACTTTAACCGGGCTGTCGTTGTAGAGCCAGGCCAAGAATTCGGTAGAGTTCCAATAGGTGTCAGGTGCTTCCCAGTCTCCGTCAGACCAGATGACTTCAGGTCGATACCTCCAAGGCAACAGGAGAGCAAAGGTTTAAATATACTGCTGGCATACATGTATAAAGTGCGATCAGCTGACGCAACATTTTAAGCACCACAGACCTTACAACCATGTTATAAAGCTCTGGAAGTAGTTTCTGCAGCACAAACTCCTGCGTTTTGAAGCCATTCTTCTTGTCAATGAGATAGAGAGGGTGGAACCACTCATACAAGGAATTGTAGAGTCCATAGTGCAGTGACCTAAAAGGGGAAATTACAGACACTTATTTAAAAAAGGCAATACGTGCAATTTAAATGACATTACTTGGGAAGACATCTGATCTAACCAACTATTACAACTGATACACATGGCCGCAAAATTTTTAATGATTAATCTCAACCCAACAATCACCTGGTGGTAAAGAAGTTTACGACAAGCAAGTTCCACAAATATGAAGCTTTAAAGCTTTTCTGCATCGTTAATGACACTCGACTGACACGTGAAGAGCTCTGTACAGGCTGATCGATGTGAAAATACAGGAAGCTCTGTAGGAGGAAGGCAGTGGGTTAAAACTGACTGGCCTTTTCTGCATACCAGTGTCAGCCCATCTGTCAACAATAACCACCTTTTTTTAGCATCGTAACTTAAGTTTTTCACCTGTTGCGCACTGCCTCTGCCAGGTCTCCCACCAGGTCCCTGTGAGGACCAGTATCAACAGAATTCCAGTTCCATGAGTTTGGAGACTCCCAGTTAGTAAACCCTTCGTGGTGTTTGGCAGTCAGGACCACATACCTGCATTGACGAGGGTGTGCAAGCAACACAGGGTACATGTACTGTGCAATAATAATAATAATAATAATAATAATAATAATAATAATAATAATAATAATAATAATGTGTGTACTGAGAGAAGGTGAGGGTCAAAAAGACGATACTACAATATTACAGAGAAACACTCACTTTGCACCAGAAGCTTTGAAAATATCCGCCCACTCATCCGGATTGAAGAACTGCGCGTGAAACTGACGAGCAAACTCTGGGTAGGTGAAGCCTGGTGGGTAGTTCTGGGACATGTAGTTCACATATTTCTGGTCCGGGGGCTGCTGGCCCTGCCAGTGCCACCAGAACCACTCGCTGCCAAAGCCGGGCACAGAAAACACGCCCCAGTGGATGAAAATTCCCAGTTTGGCTTCGTCGTACCATGAAGGCAACGGCCTGGCGTCCAGGCTCGTCCAGTCCGGGGTGTAGTGAGCCGCAGTTTGAGAAACAAGAGCAACGACAACAACAAACACGGTTAGCATGATGACAGACAGGTGAGCTTCCCCGCAAACTGCAGCTGCTCGAATGAGGATGTTGAAGGAGCGTCACATTTACAGTTCCCCTGACTGTGTGTCCAGAAACGGAACAACACAAAGTATCACTGCACAAAGTCCAAATGTCCCACAGACAGCTCGGTAATACGACGACGTTTTATATCCTTTCCGCTAAACTGTAACAGTTTCATTTCCGTCATATGACTCGGAGTCACTATCACGTGGTTGAGTTTTTCTTGGTTTTTTTTGTTGTTACAACTTTATTGAAACCGATGCCAGAACAAACAGACACCTGCACATGTAAAAATAAAGAAATACGTAATTATTATACCTTGTCTGCTTTATAATCAGATTACTGTTATTTTACTTGGGTATTTGTGCAGTATTTTTTCTTGGTAATTTTAAATCTTTTTTTTTTTAATTAAAGAAATCTAAGAATATCTTGATTTATTCTTAATCAGGAAATTACAGAAAGGCAATTCTTTTATTTTTGTGTTATTTTTCTTCAGTAATTTTAATTTAATGTAATGTGTGTATATGTATTCATGTATTGATTTATTTAATATTTTCATAAAAGGTGCTTTAAAAAGAACGTTCTGGGCGAAGAGTTTTCAGTGGTCACTCCTCCAAGTGACTTCAGTCTCTGTCTGCAGCAACAATAACGGCTCATAACCATCATTAATTATCTTCAAATTGTTTTTGACCAGTGTGTACTGAAACCAGCAAAGTGAATCAGTCGTGATCCATCATTATTCCTGTGTTCTCGATATGAGTGGTGCTGTATTGATGGCTCTAGTTTTGCGAAACACACACACAAACAAAAAAAAAACAAAAACAGGTCACGATCAAGATACCATTGTAACCTGTATTTTATAGACAGAACACCTGACAGATGTTAAGGTAAGGGACAAATAAAAGTATCCAACATCTGGAGGCAGATTTCTTTTAATGGTTTTGAAGATGACTGAATTATCTGAGGAAGATGTTCTCTGCACATCTGATTACAAAGAAATAAAAATCCTGATCTGGCCCCAAAACAAAGTGTGTCGTTTTGCAAGTCATAAAAACTTAATAATAAACTCGAGGAAACATATTTCTAAGGCATATTTTCTTTAACTTTCTTTAATTAATAACGAACTGCTCTACAGTGGACAGTTTTCTTTTGGAATACTGGGATGTCGAATGGGAATATTCCAGTTCTTTACTACTACATTCATGTCTCCAAGTCATTCTCGTTACTACGCACAAGCTCCGTCGTGGAGGACTCGATCTTTGGCTCCTGTTGCACCTCACACTTCATGTCCGTCGAGGTGTCCGTGTGTTCTTGGCCGGATGTGTACTCGGCTAAAGCTTCCAGCCCTGCCGCGATGAGGACGTCCTCTCCCTGCGTCTTGCGGCTGTAACCCAGCCTCTTCAGGGTCCGCCGGGCAGTTGCGAGTGAGATGGGCTTCTCCACCCCGCTGCTGTTGTACATGGCATGGATCTCCTCAATCGTAGCCTCGCTGTTGGCTTCCACCAGCCTTTCCAGTCTCTTCTCTCCGTTGTCATCCACGAGCCGCTTCCTTCCACACGGTCCCCGCTGACTGAAGGTTTTCTGCCTCTGGCACCATTCCCTGTAAACTCGAGACACCGCAGTCTTTGAAAAACCCAACAGGTTCACTGTTTGCGAGATGCTGAGCCCGCCGTCTCGGGCTCCCACTATCATACCCCGCTGAAACTCACTTAAATCCCGAGACTTGCCCATCATGGTGCACAAACGGTGAGAAGCGCTGCAGATAGAAATACTCATTCTACTTCGGTGGTTTTCGGTACATTAGGCTGGAATGAAGGCTTATTGTCGCCCTCCTGAGTTGCATTGGTGATTTTTCGATTTTTGCTCTTAAAATATGCATAAAGTCCCCCGGAAAATCAGCTATGCAGCCATACTACCACCAGGCCCACCACTAAAACTAACTCATGTGTTCATACACACACACTTAAGCTAAATCAGCAGAACTTTAAAAAGCTCATCAGACTCGTCCTGAATTAATGAGAGACAGTGATCACAAATTAATCCACTAATTCACAAGATGATTTTGTGACAAATCATCTCTCCCATTCAACATTATCATCTTCGTCAGAAAGGAGATTAGCTGTAACCTAGAGGATTCTGCAAATCGTCATCATTTTATGTCTGTATGCATTACCCAGCAACTTTTGCTGTGTAAGAGTTATCTTTAAAAGTTATGTATTATTTCAGTTGCAACTCTGTATTTTTGTAGTTGTTTTGAGAACAAACTACACGTGGATAGGTAAAAATGATGGTAAATGGTAAATATTTGTATAGCGCTTTACTTAGTCCCTATGGACCCCAAAGTGCTTTACACTACATTCAGTCAGCGTGTGAATGGGTAAAAGTATTAAATAAAATCGTCATCCATACTTTTATTTTCCCTTCCAGTTTTTCCTAAATGAAGCCACGTAAAACACCCTGAAAACTTTCACATGCTTACTGGGTCTAATTCCCTGTTTACAGCCTGCACTCCTATACTGTCACAGGTCATACTGTCCCATTTCCAGCTTTCCATTTATCTCTGAGATTCTGGAGCATGCCTTGCAGCATCACAGGTCCAGGCTTACTTAATTAATAATAACTTTAAGAGCCATTCAGACACAGCAGGAAAATAGCTTTTGTTTCACCAGGGACCTCGTCCTTGCATCACATGCATATCCTTGACCTCAGTTCTGCTTTCGATTCCATCTGTCATCTTCTGTTATTACGACTGGCCAGCACTGGAATCAAGGACACAGCACTAAAACGGTTTACATCATACATGGCTGACAGAAAGCAATTTGTTCAAGGCTAGACTCCCCACTAAATATCGAGTGGCCCCTTTATACCCAAAAAACTTTCAGTATGCAAATGTGCTTTTTTCTTCCTTTTGGACAAAGCAAAATGTTTAAGTAAACACTGTCTGTCCTCTGCAAGCTCAGGAATCCCACGCTGACAGTCATGTTTTTCTTATGTACAAAATACACAGAAAATCATTTTCCTTTATTTCAGCTGTGCAATTATAGAAAATTCAGGAAAGAAAAGGCTACAGTGATGATTTAAAGCAACCATTCCTAAAGTTAAGCGTGCTGTGGTCTAACTTAGAAAACAGAAGATCCCATGGGACCCACCTAATTTTAAATCTTCACTCTAATCAACATACAAGAGAAAGTGATGCATTTCCTTGAGAATTTTATTCCAAAAAGATAAACAACACAGGGGATTGGCTATAAATCTCTAATGCAACACAGTCATATGCAAACTTCAATACAACAGCTGTAAATTTAGGTCAAACTAATGAATAATATCACAAACTAACCACCTCCTGTTTGAATTCATTTTTATATAAATAAATACATTTAGATAAAGATGTAACTGTACACACTTGTGTGTAATCACCCTGATGGGAACTGCAGCTGTAACACAAACAGATTTGTGACAGCATCTTGCATAAGGGTGACGAAACTGTTCACAGACAAACATGCAAACATACGCCAAAGTACAACCCCACGAGTGGATGAATCAGAGTTAGCTCGATCAGCTGTGTGTAACGACGGATTGAAGAGGTGCTGTGGTTGAGTTCTGTAAATTGTTATGAATGAAAAGCAAACAAACAAGAAAGACCACTTAAAATATTTTTATTATAGCAAACTTCCCTGATATGCTACCTCAGGGTGCTCACGTTACAGCTGCAGTGAACAAACTGGGTTGTGGATTACCTCAGTCCAAGTTTAATCTAAGTTAAGTAAGTTGAAATGCAATAAAGCACACGGCTCCTTCTGATTTATTAGACCTTTGAACGCTTTAAATAAATAGCACCACTTTAAATCATATTTGGCATTTGCAGAGACTTTTCCCATAAGCCACTGCTTATATTAATTTTTACAGTTGACTGAAATGGTGTTTGCTCTAGTAATGACAGTGCAAACCCTGACAGCGATCGCCTTATTTCAAATGTGAAAATGTCCATGGTTCAGGAGAGTTAACGTGCTTGGTTGAGACTGCAATAACAATGATTGATTAGAGCGATTGTTATAGTCTTCAAATTGTTTGTTGACCAGTGGGTACTTAAACAAGCAGAGTGAGTCATTTGTGATCCTTCCCTCATCCTGTACTCTCAGTATGAGTTGTTACCGACAGCCAGGTAGTTTAGACTTTAACAGCATGAATCAAAACTCCTTTGTTCCTCTGTGGAGACTTTTAAAGGTAAGCCTAAAATGAGCTGAGGCTACACGGCACCCTGAGCGATGCCTGCTGTTAATAAATGTGTCTGCACCTGCTGGTGCTGTGTTTATGGGTCTAGTTTTCTACAGTCCAGATCAAATTTCACCATGAGGAAAATAAAGGATCTATCTTTAATATATTAATGGTTATTTTGGCGTTTTGAATTTTTTATTTTTTATTATAACATCCACGTTTCTGTTCCGTACAGACAGAATATCTGACAGCTGTTAAGATAAGGGTCCAACATCCAACATCTGGATGCATTTTTCTTGTGAATGGTTTTGAAAGTGACTAAATTGGCTGAGGAAGATGTTGTTTGCACATGATTACACTGAAATAAAACTCCTGATCTGGCGCGAAAAACAAAGGTGGATATTTTGTAAGACATCGGAATAAACGGGGGGGGATTAAAGAACAGCTCTACAGTGGGCAACTCTGGAAATATCGCGACATCAGAATGGTTTAATCCAGTTCTTTACTACTACATTCATGTCTCCAAGTCATTCTCGTTACTGCGCGCAAGCTCCGTCGTGGAGGACTCGATCTTTGGCTCCTGTTGCACCTCACATTTTATGTCCGTCGAGGTGTCCGTGTGTTCTTGGCCGGATGTGTACTCGGCTAAAGCTTCCAGCCCTGCCGCGATGAGGACGTCTTCTCCCTGCGTCTTGCGGCTGTAACCCAGCCTCTTCAGGGTCCGCTGGGCAGTCCTCAGTGAGATGGGTTTCTCCACCCCACTGCTGTTGTACAAGGCATGGATCTCCTCAATCGTAGCCTGGTTGTTAGCCTCCACGATCCTTTCCAGTCTCTTCTCTCCGTTCTCGTCGACGAGCCGCTTCCTCCCGCTAGCTCCGCGGTCGCTGGAGGTTTTCTGCTTCTGACACCATTCCCTGTGAACTCGGGACACCGCGGTCCTTGAACAGCCCAGCAGGTTCGCTGTCTGTGAGATGCTACACCCGGCGTTTCGGGCTCCCACTATCATACC